GAGTCTCCTTTCCAGATGTAGTACAATATACCCATTAATTTGAAGGCGCCATCTGCCAAGGCAAACATAGAACAATAGGGGCTGGACTTGACGAACCACATCACCACCCGGGAGAGATGAGTGAAAAAGGTGTTCAACCTAGTGAATGAAAGTACGTAAATTATTGGAAGACCTCAATACGAGCTGCACCAGATGCCTGTATCTTCGCCTCAATATTGGCCTCTCATCAAAGACAATGAAAGTGAAGACTTTGATGAATAGAGCTAATCATCTAACTAGGTCGTTCGGACCAACTTCGCTCACATGGTCATAAGACTCGGGATATGCAGCGGGCCGGCCCTGTCCCGAGACCGGTCTTGAACGCAACCTTTTCAATATAGGTGTCCGAGTAGACACCTTGAGGCACACGACAGACAGATAGACAAGTAAATGACTTCAGTAGCAATCACGCCGTGTTCTTGATGGATGCGCCTGTTTTATAATCATAAGGGCAGACACTAGGAGCCTTTATGAAATAAGGGGGTAATAGCTGTGTTTAACTAGGTAGAGATGAATAGACGGTCTAGGCTTGTTTGTCACGGTCTCTTCCAACAGTAAGAGACTTTGATATAGTCATGCCTCCATCAGGATTGGATTTCCAACTTTCGGCCGTGCCTCGAGAAGGTGGTTATTCGCTACTTCCGGTGATGAACGGATGAAACATTGACAGCAAGCAGCTGGTTGGGCCTTGGTAGATGGGAATCGATTCCGAACAAGTAGGTAATTTGGCTTCAGACTGTCCCCGTATGTCGGCCGTAGTGATCATATTTAGGTATTTTCTAACATATTTGTACATCCATCCTCATTCCGTTCTAAGAGTAATGATTGTATGGTAAATTATTCGGCAAGATTGTTGTGATCTTGATCTTCTTCTCAGTGTATTTGAATAGGTAAGGGACTTAACTGACACGCCACGTAAGTATTCATATACCTGGTGCTTAAGCATTGTATGGATACCTTAGAAACATAGAATTCTGTGTCAGCATAATGACATACATAGGAAATAAAACAATGGGCTTTCGTCAGTCCCGAGTTAGACAGTACCTGGTGAGGCAGCTGGATATGTAAGTACCTAAGGTAGGTAGATACACGTAAGGTGCGGCTGCCAGGTGCGACCCAAAGAATTAGACCAGACGTCAACTGGCAGACTCTGCTAGCTTGATATGCATCAATCGAGAGCAGCCTCAAAGCTTCAATCACTTCCCCTCCGGCTCCACCCGCGCAGCTGTGAACGCGGTCACCTCAGATTGGCGACACATCCATCCACCCACCCACCAACCATAATGATCATTGCCAACTTTTAGTGCGAGAACTTCTTCCCTATTTGACGATTCGACGACGGTTTCTTCTTAATACCGCCGATAGGTCAGTGACTAGTCCTCGATTGGCTCGGCAAAGTCGTCAATTGCTCTCTGGTTAGGTAGGTCACTTCGAATCTGCCATTGACGAGACATAACTCAAATCACAAGATCCAGACAGACAAGACATACAGTACTCACTACTGCGGACTTTTCCTCTGCTGATCTACCGAAATCAACTCGCCGACGTTGTGCATCTTCGCCTGTAGTTCTCGTCGCCATTTCTTACGATTACCTGATCACGAAGCGGCTGTGTCTGTGAAACTGCCGAGGTGAGTCAGCCCCAGCCTGTCGGTTCTGGTCGCCGTATATGGCTGACTCAGAAAGCTTCATATTAGACGTCAGAGGACATCTCGAGACAGCTTTCCAAATCTCACAGTTTGTCCATGTCGCGGGGGAAGGGGAAGGACCGGGCCATCGTGTGTTTGGTAGCCCAGCAAACAGATAGATAGATCCCGGCCCTTATTAACTATTACCTATCGACCATGGAGGTGAGACATTCTTCCTTCTTTTCTTCTTCTTCAGCCTTTCAACATTTTCCTTGCTTATGAATCAAAAAAATAATTACGGCCTGAGCTGGTACCGCCTAGTGGCACAGAGCCTTCGCCGCGTATCATTATCGAGCTATTTCGGGAAGGTCATCAATCCGTCGACGGCAACGGGTGTCTGTGCCAGTTCAGTTATTTTTCTGCCCACTATTTGCTTTCTTTCTCTCGTGCCTCTGATACGCAGCTATGCTGTGCAGTGACCACTTCAGTTTCAAACACCTCTATTATTAGGCAGACGTAAGATTTCAGGCCCAAGCTCGCAAACAAACCGGTTTGGTTTAATTACCAACTGAAAATTTCTAGACGGGACTCCCGAGTCTATCTAGCTATTTGTACGACGGTGAGATCAGCAGTGAAGTCAGCTCGCTCCTTTTTAACAGATCTTCGGGGGCGAGATGATCTGTATTGCTGAAGCTGGGAACCGAGATTCGTGGCCTTTTTCCTATTATGACATTTGATATTACCCCTGCTCGACTTTGCCTACCCGCAGCCGCACCGTCATCGCAAAAATTTTGAGCCTCTTGATCTTGCTTTTGCCTATCCGGACCCGTGGACTCGGCAGCTTCGTTTGTAGATTGGCTAGCTCGCCAATCTGATAATGTGCCGACAAGTACAAACAAACTATCACCCGCAATCACAGTCGCTGGAGGTTTACCTGGTAGAAAACTTCGGTCGGCAGCAATGAATCAGGGAAGAACACCATATCCATATCAGGGGCACGTCTGCTCAGCCGCCTCGGTCGTTGATATACCTAGACCGGAACTCTGTTGTTGACAAGCGTCTTCTTGCACTCGTTCGTTCATTTCTTGTGCTGCGCCTACGTCTCAAAATGTCTTCGCGGCTTCGGGGTCTAGACACTTTCAGTGCGGGAGATGATCCCGAAGAATCCCGCGGAGGGCAGTCCAGTTCCCTCAGTCCGGCTCAGCAGACTCTGACACGTGTGTATGAACAGGATCAGAGGCAGCAGAAGAATGGCGCAAAAGCGTCCGAACAACCCTCGGATCAGTCCACGAAGGGAAAGCCTAGGTTGCTCCTAATGGGGCAAAGAAGGTACGTCGTTGCAAGCCATGCGGTCGCCAACTCTACTAAATACACTTCAGGAGTGGCAAGTCGTCGATATCGAGTGTCGTTTTTCATAAACTACCTCCGAGCGAGACTTTATTTCTCGAGTCGACAGCTCGCATTCAGAAGGACTCGATGCCGTGAGTACTTCATAGCTACCATAATGATCTACTTCTAACCTAGCTTCCTAGCTCCTTCATGGATTTTCAAGTATGGGACTTTCCGGGTCAAATCGATATATTTGAGAATGACACATGGGATATCGACGCCATGTTTGGCGAGATTGGGGCCCTGATTTGGGTCATTGATGCTCAGGATGATTACCTGGAGGCTGTTGCGCGTTTGAACGTGACCATTCTAAACCTCCAACGAACGTACCCGAATATCAAGATCGAAGTCTTCATCCACAAAGTGGACGGCTTGTCAGACGATTATAAGCTCGACATCCAACGGGATATCACTATACGCATCCAAGACGAACTCTCAGACCATGGGTTTGAAAATGCCCCGGTCACCTTTCACCTGACCAGCATCTATAATCACAGTATCTTCGAGGCATTTAGCAAGGTGATTCAGAAGCTGATTCCTCGCCTCGGTATACTCGAGGCGATGTTGACCAACCTCTGTCGCACCTGTCGCTTCGAGAAGGCATACCTCTTTGACGTATTGTCCAAAATATACATTGCCACAGACAGTGCACCTGCGGACATGTCCAGCTACGAGATCTGTTCCGACTATATCGACGTTATAATAGACGTCACGGAGGTATACGGTAGCTGGCCCCGAACTCAGAAATATCGCGAGAAGCTCGAGGGTCCGCCTTGGAATCAGAAGGTAGAGGACCAGGTAGCTTCGGGCTGGGCCGAGAGCTGTATGGTATTAAGTGACGGGAACAAGCCCATCATACTGCGCGAGGTCGACAAGTATCTTGCGCTAGTCGCGATAATGAGGGAAGACAGCTACGACAAGATGCCATTAGTCAATATGAACGTCGAGGTGGTTGTGCAGGGGTTAAAAGAATTCTTCGCGATTACGAAGCCTAGATAAATCACCCAGCGCAGAGGAAGTGCTCACTGCTTTGTATAGATACAGATTAATAAGGGAGCACTTCTGGATCTAAGGAAGTTATTGTAACATATCGACTTCTGACGTTGTAGAGGGGTATATCTTCGCAGTCAAAAGAAACTTAGGCACCCTGAACGAACGCAGAGGCACGGTGAGTTGTTCTACCACTTTGAGCTAGTAATCCTATAAGAGAATAAGAGCAAGCTCTACTCGGACTTCATATGCGATTAGCGTCAATGTCAAATAGGCCGCCCAATTTCTAGCTTGTGTGTAGGGAGGGGGCAAATGCAGCAGCGTTCATCGAAGAATTCGTATTACAAACCCTCAGATGGAAGGTCGGGTTTGCTGCCCAACACACATGTCGTCACAAATACGAATACCACATATATACTTCTAAAGAAAGCGTTGAACCGAAACAGCTCATCATTACCTAGACCTCCAACACCTATGTCGCTGATGATAGAGTGCACAGTTCTATACATGCAAAGGTCCAATGGTTGCAAACAATGTCACAAGGCCCACCTTCTGCGTTAACAGCAAGAACTAGCACTTATTAGAAACTCTTTTATCAAGCCAGAAGGAATTGTTATAGTGTCCGTTCAATATGAGTGAATTATCAACTGGGGGCTTAAGATGTGACAAACCTGACCCCTTTCTCTTTACATTGTGTGCAATTTTACTACAATCAGCATTCATCTTCCATACGATGCTGTATGTTTTGATATGCGAACATTTGGTTGATTCTGACCTATGCCTTCCGATAAGTGATCTTGCTAATCTGATTGCAATGTCTAATAGACATGTTGTGGTCACGGTGGAGAGGAGCAATGAATGGCGACAAATCAGAGAAGGAACATAGCGCGAATTATTGCATCGACGAGAAAGCAACCTCGAGGGAAGGAACACTTTCCCTCAAGACCGACAAAACCCCTTGGTGGTGTAGTTGGTTATCGCGTTCGGCTGTAATTGATAAGATTGTAAACCGAAATGTCGCCGGTTCGATTCCGGCCCGAGGGAGTCTATTTCTTTTTTGTCTTTTAGGACCCCAGGCCTTACACGTTATATGCGTGATTGATTTTTTGTGCAAGTCCAAAAGCTGCTAGGCAAAGATCAATCTTGAGTAACAGGGCCAGCTCTTAATGTGATACGCATTTTATCCTATTATAATCCCATGGCTACTTGGTTTATTACTTCTTTTCCTTTTATAGCGATACTTAATCAGTGTAATACTTGACTTCGTATTGACCTCGTTTATTGTCTTAGGCGTCCTTATTAGCTTGGACTAAGACTGTATTTAATAAAACGTTTACCCTATCAGTAGAAAACGTCATAGTTATTTACTTGCGGATGTCGTACTGTTTCATAGGCTGAGAAGTATCGTTTACCTAATTGGATGTAATAGCCAGGTCTATATCAAAAGTCAAGGTTGTGAGATTTAATCATCTGGACACAACAACTTAACAGATCCGTACCTGTAAGAAAACAACACCCCAGCTGACTGCTACATTCATCGTTAGCCTGGCCGAATTGATATTTATAACACCTCTCGTTGAGATACCGAACGTAGCCTGATATCTAGTCGTGTATCCCCTACTGTGCTCAGAGCCTTGATGACGAACACAGCTAGAGGCCAAGAAGAGGCCCCTAGGTAGTTCTACACTCATGAGATAGTTGCTCCCAATTTACGTGGCTACACCGGCTATAATACCATACCTAAGCACTATGAGCCTCCCCAGGAGCAGCGCCATGTAAGGATGGTTTCATATCGGAATTTTCACCTTCGCCTTGCGAGGCAGACGCCTAGGCCGCTCCCAGCCGCCAGCCCTGCCCCGTCGCCGCATCTACGGTGCTTGCTCCGTGTCCTTGTATCTAGCACTGGGTTTAGTATTGTCTGTCGGAAAAGTGGCTTTGCCGAGCGTTAAAATGTAGACTCCATATCCGACCACTAGTCGAGTCCCTCCTTTACCGACCCTCAACAAATTTCAAGCTTCATTGGATGAGTTGTGAAGAGCTCTACCGCCTTCTGCTAGAGCTAGAGCCAGCATCGCAGATATCGAATTCAAGATGGAACGTTGCTCGAGGATAGTTCAAGATGATTGATCTGTCCGTGGCGTGGCGCTGTTTATGGCGAGTCATCTGCAAATACACTATCAATGTCGAGCTTCGCTACCGAGTGTAAATAGAAAGGAAATTAGATGTGCTTCGATGGCGTTGCGACTCTAGACGCTAAGCAGACAGAGGCTAACTGTTTGTTTAAGGGAAGATAGCCGGTTTGCCGTTCGCTATTGGGGAACTGTAGAAGCGAACCCGAGAGCTTGCGATGGGGTCGAGTGGCTTCTGCGCCCTGAAAAGGAGGAACCAGCAGGACTGGGCAACCAGAATTCGATCCTTGATGAATATCCCGAGTTTACAGCCCCGAGCCCCGTCACGAGACCGGAACATCGAAGCCTAGGGCTCCTAATTCGCAAGGATAGTGACCTCGTCTTCGTTCTTCAGATATTCACGCTGCAGCGGTTATAGCCACCGGCAAAATCACCATCAAATCGCTCTACAGAACGGATACTTTCAAAGCCTAGATATGATCGAGATAATATCCGAAGAACAAACTAGCAACGGTGTAGCGTCTGTCGAAGACTAGATGGACCCGGCGAGCGTCGGCTGTGTCAAGAATAGCGTCTTTCTCGACAGCAAGATCCAGAAGTGTGAGCCAGGATACTGTCAAGTTGCACCACATCCCGGCTGAAAATAGGGGCAAAGGTAACGAAGGTGTCTGCGAGCTAGTTGTTAATGGTCCGATGCCACTTCTTGTTGGGGCACCGAGTATGGTAAAGATCACATACTACGGTATAATTAGGATTGATGGAACCCAGCTCCCCTCAGCCTGCCACGCAATCGATAATAACAATCAAGAGACACATTATAGAAGTTAATCTCGTCATCAACGAGGAACGTCGAGCTCCTATAGTAAGAAGCATCAACTATCTGATTCAAGCAACCCTTCACTGACCAGAGCGTGATTCTACCAGCTTGGCTACTCAATCAGCTCCGGCGTCCTGGGCACAAAGGGACGCTGTTACTGGACAGTACACAGGAGTCAGCGAGAATAAGGCAATCAGGCTCGTATCTAACAATGTAGAACACATCTTAGGGTTGGGACCTAGCAAGGAGTACGTGTCCCGGAGTTCTCTCTTTTCCTATTTCAGATTGGCTTAGGAGCTATGCCTACCTACTCAAGGTGTTTCTAGCTGTCGAAAAAGAATGCCGAGACATATTTTTTAAAGTGCCGAAATCATGTGAAGGGATGTCTTGCCAGCTCGGGGTTGTCTCTGGTATTATGGTATGAGAGAACCCACTGCTTCAATAGAGTGGTGCCGTTGTGCTTTCGTTTAAAGAGCTAGGATGCAAGTCAGTATTCCGAACAAGCTCAACTTGAGGCCGGTGGGGCTCTGATAATCAAATATGACTGGTAACAGCGAAATTATATAGTTCCAGTGTTCACGACTTCCTTTACTATGTATCTAGCTTGACTGACAGTTCGCACGGCATATTCTGAGACCTACAGGTAGAAATGCCCCTGAGCGCCGAAGTATGATGTCAAAGGGGCCGAACCCAACGATATGTCTCGTTCAGGCCCGACCTGACTGCAGGTAGTGAAATATTGATGTCGGACAGCGGCTGCGTCGTTTCTCAGCTGAGTGGATAACTGGCAAACCTGCAACGTAACACAACAGCAAGTATTGACGGGCTTAAATCCAAACAGCCAGCTATTGCGGATACGAACGAGAATTGGTTACCGATGTTGACGGTGGACGAAAAAGGCTAGGGAGGTCCGGTTTGGGTCCAAAAACACTTGATTGTGTCGGCTCGGCTGGTGTTCAGCCAAGGTTCGCAACCGCGCGCAAACTACATACACAGTGGAAGCAAGAGGCAGGGCGTGAGTGGTGCTGACTTCAGCAGGCCTGCGTAGAGTTTAAACGCCCAAATAAAGGTAGGAAATATAACAATAGAAAAATATGTGGCTGTCAACGGCTGGCTTTCAGTACCACCCAGAACCTCAGGGGTTTGGAATGCGGTGGCACGGAAAGAAAGGATGGAAGGATTCTAGCTGTCTAGGTATTGTTTAAAACCTGAAAGCTCCACTTAAAGGAAGCAGGGGGGGAGGGGGAAGGGGGAGGGGGAGGGGCGAATTACCAAGTAAAGCATCTGCCGGTAATCCGTACTGCGTAGGGATGATAGATATGTATACTTTGTCTGTAGATTGATCCATTGCATCTCATCTACGGACTATGTATTTCCGAAACAACAGAATTAAGCTGATGGTACCCTTACCTTAATACAAAGTATTAATATTGAGAAGGGATGAAGTATATTGAATTTCCTTCTTTCTTAAGAAGCCCTCTGCGCGTGAAATGCTTATTAGGTGGAAAAATAGTGGGAAAGTAGTTGGTAAAGGGGAGAGAGAGAGAAAAACAACTCGTATGATATAGACACATGTTTTCTGTGCCTAAGGTACCTTACTCAGAAGTACATGTATGTACGTGGGCTGCGTGGTACGAATCGGCCCCGCGCCTCCGAAAACAGTCTGCCAATCGCGCGGCAGATCTGCCCATGGTCATCGTTAGCGTGTTTCGAAACCCGCCCAAGCTTAATGGAAATAAACTACAATTGCGTAGGCCATCTGGCCATTCAAAGGGGCAAGGATTGGCATATACGTAGCAATTCAGGGTATGTATGTACAATCCGTACATAGTAAGTACGACCTTATTATTCGCTGCATAGGCCAGCGGCACTGGGATAGGTATGTATGTATGTATGTATGTATGTACCTACATACGCAGTACTGCGTAGGTCGCTCATCCTCAGGGGTTAGCAAATGCTTGTTCTTGACGCTTCACATGCAAGCGACAATGTATCCACCACCCACGAGCGAACAGGTTTTTGTTGTACATAAATACATCCGTACACTTCCTTGGTATCCATAACTGCTGTACGGAGTAGTAATCAGACTTTTTTCATGCGAAAGCTGAGCTGAGATGAAGTTCAAGCTTTCTACCATGCGAAGTTGCCCGCCAGCCCTGCCCACATACGCTCAATCAATTCAGGGTCTGAAGTCTGAAGGGTCTTCATACATGCGCACTTGCCTGGCAGACCTGGCAGCCCTGGAGTCTCAAGCCTATTTTTGATGGAAACCGTTCAAATCTGGTGGGGCAAAGGGATTCGCAGCTTGGAAGTCGATCGATCTCGACCCGGATCTTTGTCAAATCATCCCTGGCCGCATTGCTTGTATTGGCATTTCCACCTACCACGAGGCACGCCGATTCAAACAGAAACGATTCCTCCTTTCAATTTCATGATTATTAAATTATCTACGCACGTAGGTACCCTGGTACCTCATCTTTCCTGCTATTGGTTTTAATATTAGAGTTATTCGCAGCTTGTCAACCGTCGTCTCAACTGACGCCACAAGCGAGCCCCAATGTTCCTGGATTGGATCTTAGCTCTTGATTGAGCCAGGTGGTGGGTGGCCGGGCTGCTTGTTGGGTACAGATGGTCCATCTGTCAGTGTTTGGTCAAAGAGAGTCCAATGAGATGTCTTCGATCCTGCCCACCCCGAGCACTTATGCAGGTACAGGCTGGTCATCTTGCGTGGCGACCTCTACTCCAACTTTTTCCTGTTCTCGTTTGTGTGGATAGTGAAGTTTTTTTATTTGTTTCTTGCGTAGGTAGGTCGGCCGCCCTGCCATTCCCCCCCTGCATTGAGGCGCGGGCGGTCAAACCCCCCCTTCTCCCATCAGCCATTCAGCCATTCAGCCATTACTATGTATGTATACTAGTGTAGGCATACGAGAGTCGGTCTTTGTCACTGTTTCTGAATCCACTCCGGCATGTGGTGGGCCACCAATACGATCGATACCCGCCAGTCTGGTACTTGCCTTCACTTCTCTTCTTCCCGCGCATTACCTGCCAACTTAGGCTGGTCTTCGAAGTACACAGCTGCTGAATTAGCAGTCTACGTA